CAACTTAAGATTTCCTTGCTGAGCTGATTTTGCTCGCCAATAAGCAAGCCGCTGAGTTGACCTTGCCGAGTTGATTTTGCTTTCTAAGAAATAAGTCACCGAGCTGACCTTACTCGCCAACTTTAGAGTTTCTTGTCGAGTTGATTTTACTCGCCATGAAGCAAATTACTGAGCTGACCTTACTCGCCAACTTTGAAGTTCCTTGTCGAGCGAATTTTGCTCGTCATAAAGCAAGTTGTCGAGCTGATCTTGCTCGCCAACCTTGAAATTCCTTACCGAGCTGATTTTGCTCGCCAATAAGCAAGTGGCTGAGCCGGCCTTGCTCGCCAACCTTGGAGTTCCTTACGGAGCTGATTTGCTCGTCAAAATGCAAGTTGCCGAGTTGACCCTGCTCACCAACTTTTGAGTTCCTTACCAAGCTGATTTTGCTCGCCAAGAAGCAAGTCACCGAGCTGACCTTGCTCACCAACATTAGAGTTCATTACCAAGCAGATTTTTGTTTACCAAAATGCAAGTTGCCGAGCTGACCTTACTCGTAATCTTTGGAGTTCCTTGCCGAGCTGATTTTGCTCGCCAATGAAGTAACCAAGCCGATTTTGCTTGCCGAGAAGTAAATCGCCGAGCTAAGTTTATTTTGCTACCAAGGAGTTGCACTGATTTTGCTCGCCGAGAAGTGAATCGTCGAGCTGAGCTAGTTAAGTGGTTAACACGAAAGTCGAAGAACATTTTTGAAAAATTAGAGCTATGAAGATTTGTGCAGAAGTACAGCGCGGTCCCCGAAACAAGTGATAAAACTTGATCGAGCCATCATGAAACTTGATAACGAACCGAGCTGAAATTGAGTAATCCCATTCATGTTACAATATAAGGGATTCAAAGCGAACCACCGAGCAAAGAGTTAAACCTGGCCTAGTAATGTAATTCCGGTCACTCGAATGCGGACGAAATTAAGAGGCAATTGAGAGGGGAGTGTACGCCAAGTGAACGGGCCAAGCTAGTTATGACTTGGGCCTTGCCATTGGATTACGCGACCGAGTTGGCATAGCAGAGGACAGTTTGACCGAGGTTCTAGATCATGGGGCTAAGTTAACCCAAGGTTCGGAAGTTGGACCGGGCTAAGTCGAGCTAGGTGAAACGATGGTCCAAAGCCGAGCAAGGTCAGCGGCAACGAACGGAGTTGGGCAAATCGAGCTAGCTATTGAGCTTGACCCTGAAGGTCAATCGGAATTGAGGCTAGAGCTGACTGGGCTATGCCTAGCTCGGTGGAAATTGTCAGGTGGTCCAATTAGAGTGCGAGAAGAGAAGCTTGCCAATGGTGTGCGTCAATACCGTTTGACAGTTTGGCCAATGTTGTGGTATTGACGGGTATACGTGTAAAGAATAGAAAGGGCAGTACAGCCACTCGTCCAGGAAAAAACGAGCGGAGGAGTGCGCAAAGGCTATATAGGCTAAACAGCGCCCCTATACAAGAAGGCGGGTTTTCTAGCAATCCAGGGCTCTATCTCTCTTTGGTTTTCTCTCTCTTTCTCTCCCAAAAAAGAGTGCTAACTTGATTGTTAGAGGGACTTTCCGGCATCACACCCGCCGAGCAGCTCTACGTCATTGTGTTCTTAGGTTATTCAGAGCGAAGCAAAACTTGGACACGAGAAGTACGAACAGCGATGAATATTTGCTCCTCATATACTTACATTATTAACTTTTATTAAAGATTTATAAAGATTTATACGGTGGAATAACAAAAAAGAATATTAACACTTGGTCAAAATCGTAGACAATTAACTGTCACAATTTGATATGTAGGCACCAAAATAATATTTGATATAAAGTATACTGGTGCAAACTATAATTTGGTTAAACTTCATGATGCTATCGTTATTATTATTTTCTTATTATTATCACATTAGGTTATGCTCAAAACTTATTTAAGATCATTCCTTTTGTTCCTTAGTCCTAAAACTTAACAACCGTTGAGGCATATTATAGTGGCTTTAATTTTTTTTTTTTTGGTGATAAAAATGTCAAGTGAAAAAAATAAATTTAGAAAGGACTCGTTAATTTGTTAAAAAAAATCAGTGCATCACGGAATCCTAATTCACGTTGATTCCATTTTTAAGCCATATTTTGTGATTTTCTCCATATTTGAATTGAATCAATATAGGTTTTTTTTTTTTTTTTTCTTGCTTTGTATTACAGAAATTATTTAGGCAACAAATATACTTTAAAAAAAAAAACATTTGTTGCCTAAATAAGTTTTATAATACAAAGGAAAAAAAAATAGAGCAAAAAGCCTATATTGATTCAAATATGCAAAAAAACAAATATAAAAATAATTTTCAAATATTATTATAATTTGAAAATTTTAAAGAGAAAAACAAATCTCACTACATTTCAAGCATCCAATTATCTTCTTCTTTGTATGCCATATATTTACATTTATACTGTGCATATTACATTTAATAAATGTTTATTCATATAAAAATAATTATGCATTATTTTTTTCTCCCTAAAATCTTACTATCTTGATCCGATCCTACGAGCTCTTCTAAAAACTTAAAACGGTTTTCCTTTTTTGACACTTTTTTTGTATTTATAGAATAAAAAAAAGGGAGTAGCTTTCCTCCCGTTCTAAATCAGACTGGAAAGTGTTGTTGGGTCCGTGAAGACTCACCACAGGTCCTGCTTCGATAATCTGAAATGTTCAATATATAAAATTCATCGGGTATTATATGTCTTTAAAAAATCACGTTGATCGAATATTAATAACTATATAATTAAATCAATTTTGTATAATAAAAAAAATGAATGGTGAACAAATTAATGATTAACAAAATACTGATCCGATGAAATAGCTATTAATATCCAATCAACGTGATTTGTTATAAGCATATAGTACTGGACGAGCTCTATATATTGAACGGTTCAAATTATCGAAACGAGACCCGTAGTGGACTTTTACGAACCGAACAACACTCTTCAATTTAATCAAGACTGGAGTCTGGAGGGAAGCTTCTCCTAAAAGAAAAATTAACAACATAGCATTCCTTAACTTTTGGTAGTCAGAAATTATTTGGTCATAACATAATCCTCCATCAATCCCACCCTATCAAACCTTTTTACAATTTTTGTTTCCTTGATTAAGGAAAGTTCTACTGTATTCTTCAACTTCTTCATAATTCAAATTGACCAACCTGGTACATTGTTCATTTACTTCTTAACATGAATCTTTGAATGCTTTACTTGAATAAGCTTTCTCAAAACCGAAGTAAAAATTTTCAGACAAACCAAGCCAAGGCAAAAGTTACCCACGCCAAAAAACAAAAGCCCAGGCAAAAGTAAAGATAATAAAACATTTGATTGCTTTGACGAAAAGTATTTAAAATATATTTTGTTGTTTAGTTAATCGAAAAAAAAAAGTAAAACATTATTTATAAAAAATATTTTCATCATTATTTCAAAATTGACTTAGTATTGATTTGGGATGTTCTAAAAAAATATACTTTTTGACTTATTGACTTATATAAGTTGAGTTTAGGTTGGGTTTAATGTAATGTGTTAGAGAGGTGATGTGATTTATATAAGATGATATGACTTAAATAGGATAGTGACTTTTTGACTTTTTATATTATTTAGGTTATGTCAAACTTGACCTTAGTATTACAAATTCGATGTCAATTTTTGTGAAGCTCACTCCAACTTACGACCCATTCAGAGCACATTTGATATTTTTAAATGGTTGTTCTATCAAACTAATTCTTTGATAAAAAGGCATAAAAAAGATTGTTTTGAAATGAATTTTTGCTTCCAAACAATAAAAAAATGTGCTTAAATGTCAAACTGAAAAAATAAAAACAAAGATTTTTTTTTTTCAAAATCAATGCAAGTGAAATATATTTTTTTAAAACATTTATGTATAAAAATGGAACCTAAGTTTAATTTGTTAAAAACACAATCAAATTACACCAAACTTTTACAAAAGAAAAGAATCGACTTGTTAAGTTAAAAGAGAAAATAAAAGATCTCCCTCGTGTTCTTGTTTGGTTAAGGATGAATGGAAAAAAAAAAAAATGAATTCTCCTATTTTATTTGGATATAATTTACATTAAAAAAAAAAAACCATTACATGTTATAGTACAGCATAATATTTTAAGTTTTTATTTCTACAAACAATTACATAAAATTATTAATCATACCAATTTTCCAGGGGAGAGAGATACAAAAGATGAGCTTTAAGAATTTATTTATTTATTTTTTTCTATTTTTCCTAATTTCCTCTTCTTTTAGTTATCCAAAGAGGCAATTACAAATAAAAGAAATTCTTTTTTTTTTTCTTTAAAGAAAGTCACTCAATCCAAACGGAAGAAAAAAAAAAAAAAAGCCTTAGCAAAATGCAATTATGACAAGGCTATTGAAACTTCCCCGTTAAAAAAGAACCGATACTTCATACACAAGAAAACCCACCCCAAGACACAATCATTCATTAACAAAACATTTAAAAAAAAAAACTAATCAAAGTGAGGAGGGAGAGAGAGAGAGAGAGAGGCTCAAAAGTGCTTGAAAAACAATCATAGGTAAAACCCCTCAATGGATATTTGAGAGAGATTGTTTTATCATCATTGCCATCAATATATATCATTCTACTATCATAATCATAATTGGATAAAATAGAAAGCAACAATCCTTTATGAAATTCATCTTTAGTCCTCTGCATACATATATATATATATATATATATATTCAAACGAATAAAATATTACTTGAACTAAAAAGCACACCAAACAAAAGAAATTAATACAAGAAATGCAAGCATAATTCCTGAAATCATTGGAAAACCGTCCAAAAATGATTAGATAGTCAAAAAATTATGAGCGATTTAACTTCTAACCAACCACAAATTTGTTTCTTCCCACATTTTCATTAGAAAATTTCAACCTTCCCTGGAAAAAATGGTCTTTTTTCTTTTATTTTTAAAAATAAAATAATCAAGAGAGCGGGAGGGGCATTCAGAATGAGTAGGAGGTAAATTGATTCAATCACTAAACTTCAGACCAAAATATACTTTCTTCATCATTATGCCCTCACGTTCCCTCCCAGCTCTACATATATGTTAAATATTAAATTTAGTAATTAGATTTAAAAACAAAAATAATAGTTCCATGATTATCTGCAAAACAGAGTCTGGCAAAAGAATTAAAATAAAAAAATAAATAATTGAATAACGTTTCTCTCAGACAAATGCCTCGATTTGTCGTCACGGGTTAAAAAAACGAATGGATTGATCGGACTCGTCATCATATTTGTTCATCACTGAGAAACGTTAACGAAACACGAGAAAAGAGGAAAAGAGTGAAACATTCAAAATCACGATTACTCTGAGAATTGAAGAGAAAAATATTAAAAGGAAGAAGCTAACGCTAAGATGAATGGGGAGGCAGGTACCTACCTGAAACGAAAAGATGATTGTTTTCTGTTTTGAATAAAGTTTTTTCAAGTAGTAGCCTCCTCCTCCACCTCCACCTCCACCAGACTCTCGACTCGAGAGACTGAACAGCGGATTGGGAACGGGTTGTACTTATAGGCAACAGCTGCTTTTTTAGGGTTTGGTTAAGGGGTAGGGTTCTTCTTTGTTGGCTTCCACCTAATTCTCTGAAATTACGATATTATCCCCTCCACTCCACCGCCCCCACTGTGGTTGCTTTTTCTTTTCCTTTTAAAAGTGTTGATTTTATTTTATTTTCAATTTCGTCGAAAAATAAAATAAAATACATTGCTTGTTTGTAAAATCATTAAAAATGATTAATAAAAAATATTCAAGCAGTTAACTTTCGTAATTTTTTTTTTCAAAAAATCATCTAAAATATTTTCATAGAATTATCATTTTGTGAATAGTGTTGATTTTATTTTATTTTCAATTTCGTTGAAAAATAAAATAAAATACATAAACCCATTGCTTGTTTAAAAAATCATTAAAAATGATTAATAAAAAATATTAAAGCAGTTAACTTTGGTAATTTTTTTTAGGAAAAATTATTTATAAGTCTTATTAGAGAGACTTATGCTATATATGGTCCTACTAAAAAATTTATGTTCCCATAAGTCCTGTGAGAAGTTTATTGACACATTTACCCTCAATATTAGTTGTTAATATCATAAATAATAATAAAACCATATATAGAAAATTAAATGTTACCATAGATCATATTTATATAAACGTAACGTAACGTGACACCTACATAAACGTAACGTGACACCATAAGAAATTACATATTACCATAGATCATATCTATATAAACATAACGTAATGTAACGTAACGTGACACCTATATAAACGTAACGTGACACTTATGATCTATATAAACGTAAGTCCTATTTAGATAGAAATGTATTCCACAAGATCTTACATAAACATAACGTGACGTGACACTTACATAAACGTAATATGACACCTACATAAACGTAACGTAACGTAACACCTATATAAACGTAACGTCACGTGACACCTATATAAATGTAACGTAACACCTACATAAATGTAACGTAACGTGTCACGTTACGTTTCACAAACTTAATGAGCTTTTATTTTTTTTAAATTGAATGTGAAAATATTGCTGATTTATGTTGGTATCACGTTACGTTTCATATAAATATAATCTATGGTAATATTCAATTTTCTATATAAAAAATTGAATATTACTATAGATCATAGGCGTCACGTTACGTTTATGTAGGTATCACGTTACACAAGACTTAATCTACCATAAATGTCTAAAAAATAACTTATAAATAAATCTCCCTTTTTCATTTAAAAAAATTATCTAAAATATTTTCATAGAATGCTTTTATTTACGCTTACCATTTTGTTTTCACACTCACTAAAAAATTTAAATTTTGTATTTCTTTTTTGGCCTACACCCCCATTATTCCTAGGGGTGAGCATGGTCTGGATTGGACCGGATTGGGATAAAATTAGGACCAATCCATTTTCTACGGTTCCTAAAATATTGGAACCAATCCAATCCGTTTAAATCATGGAACCAATCCGAACCAATCCATTTACGGATTAGATCGGTTTAGGACCATGGATTCACATAATTAAATAACCAAAATATATTTATAACACTTTAATTTTAAAAAAATATAAACATAGCGTTATATTAGTTCCACAATAGCAACATATTTTTCTATAATAACAACATACTGTTCTAAAATTTAAACAACCATAAGAAAATTGGTTTCACTCTAAGTATTTAAACCATTACAAATTAAAACTAAAAACCAACAAACAAGAGTAATAAAAGTAGATATTATACAGTTTTAGGTTTGAGTTTAGATTTTATATAGAATTAAGAGAAGATACTATGGGAGATGATGTATAATAAAAATATAGACTATTTGTATACGGTTCGGATCGGTTCCAATCCGGAACCGTGGGGTTCAATCCGGAACCAATCCGTAGACTACGGATTTTTAATTCTTCAATCCGGAACCGAACCGCGGATTCAAAAAACCAATCCAAACCTATTGGATTAGACTGGACTGGATCGGATTACGAATTTCACGGATCGCTTGCTCAGCCCTAATTATTCCATACTTTTTTTTATCCTTAGCCTTCTATCTTCACTCTCTTTTCATTCCTCTTACTTTCTCTCTTCCTCTCTTCCGCAAGGTTCTCTATCTTCTACTACGACGAAAGAGAGAAGAATAACTACGATGAAAGATAACGAATCTAAAATTTTAAATGATAGGGTAGGTTCAGTGCTACGAGAGGTGATGGTATAGAGATTTGGGAATTAAGGTCCCGTTTATTTTTAGAGTTAAAATGGAAGGGATTTATAGTGAGGAGATTGATAGTGAGGGGATTAATAGTGAGGAATTGTTAAATTATTTTTATATAAAATAATAAAATAAATAAAAATATAAAAAAATTAAACATTATATTTAAAAAAAAATTCCCAATATATAAAAAATAAAAAAATAAAAAAATTTCTAATCCTCTCACTATTTTTCTAATAACATCTCTACCTCCTCCTTACCAATTCCCCTTCCTCTTCCTTACTAATACCAAGGGATTACTAATACCCTCTCTATCTCTCAAAACAAACATCCCATTCTCAATCCCCTCCTCACTACCAAACCCAATCCCTTTCCTATAATCCCAAACAAACGGAGCCTAAGGGAAAAAGGTTGGGCTATGGTGTCGAAGATTGCGACACCAGAATTTTTTTTAAAAGGTAATTCAATATTGCGTTATTTAAATAAATAGAATTTCGTGTTATATCAAAAAAATAAAATAAAATAAAAATAAAACATCTAATTATATAATTATATGTGCCAAAATAAAATTTAAATATATTGTTAGGGACTAATTCAAAGTAACTATAAACATATATCTGTTAGAATACAGGACCGTTAAAATTTATCAATAGGTAATATATAATATATATTTATTAGGTCCAAGTGTAGACTTATAGGTGGCACAATGGGGTGTTTGGTGGGGTTTTTTTGAGTCAACTTATGGCTTCTGGCTTTTAAAAAGTTATTTTGGACTGTTTGGTTAAACTTATTTCAAACAGCTTCTGATTCTAACAACTTATTTTAAGTCAAAAAAGCTGATTCTGAAAAGCTGTTCATCCCTTACTTCTTATTATCAGTTTCTGCTGTGGACATGTTAATTCACGATTATACACTTAGATTTTTTTATTTTTTATTTTTTTAAAAATAGAAAAAGACTCAAATGGACTATAGAATATTATTATTATTTTTTATGAGAAATGTAGACAAATAGTGAATAATAAAAAATAAAAGTTAATTGAAAAAGCTACTTCACAGTTTATTTAACAAACACTACTCAACAACTTAAATCTATAATCCAACAGTTACACCAAACAGATTAACAGCTTCTGATTAAAGTCATAATCTATAATCTGTTAAGTTATAATCTATAATCTATTTAACAGCTACACCAAACAGCACCAATGAAGGGATATAATCTGTTGGTCAAGCCACGTGTAGGAAAGGTGGGATTTAAGGCACTAAAACAATGCCACTTTTTTTTTTTTATCAGGAAAAAAAGGGCTCTGTGGTGTCATCATGGCCCCGTTGGGCCCTGATCCCGGGATAACCGGTTGCCAGCCAGGAATTAATCCCCACCAAGTGAGGGACCCCCACCAGGGGCATCAATGGAGCGCGAACACATGCCACAGCAGTGGACAGGTGTCAAGGGGATTTATAGAGCATGTTCACCGAAGTGATTTCAAACACTCCCTCCCTAGGAATCGACCCTGGCACGCGGCTATGGAATGCCCCGCATTCTCCACCAGGCCACCAACCCTGCTGGTTAAAATAATGCCACTTGAGAGCATGGTTTTGTAACACCTGTATAATAATTAAGTAGGGAGAAAATTTTGCTTGTTGAACAAGCATATGAACCAAGTATAAAAGAGAGAAAGGTGAAAATGTAGGAGGAAGACAGAGATATTAAAAAAAAATAAAATAAAAACAAACAGGAAAGACAGCAAAAGCACGAAGTGCGATGGGATAAATAGTAAGGAATCAACATTAAGGTGAGTTATATTATACCTTGAGTCGCCATAATATATTTCACGTATGTTTTGAATTACCATAATTTATTTTACGCAATTTGTGTTTTATAAATTATATTAAAATTTCGTTGACGTGGATTATTTTCTGACTTTTATTTACTTAAATAGAAACCCATGGATATGTTTGTTTAAATTTTAGAAAGTATTTGACAATGACCTTGTAAACAATTATTTTCTGTAAGTACCACAATGGGAGTCCCATGCCTTAGGGGACTTAAATAACCATTTGCTCATGTTTGGCCACTTTGTGGTCCTCTGTTTGTCATAGATCCATTGACTACTATTCTGATTGTCACTTTACTAACCTTTGCTCTGTTCTGTTCTGTACCGTGGTTATAGTTGTTTGCTTATATGATTTCCGCATTATACTTCTATTATTTAAAATTAATTATGTATTTCAATTACCAAACTAATCTCTGTTCTTAGCCAAATAATTATCCATGGTAATTTCTGTACCTTCATGCTCATTGTATAATATTTCTCACTCTGCCATGTGCTTATAGTTGTTACCTCTTTCAGGTGATGAGATTTAGCAAGATCGAGATTGGGAATGAACCACAGTGTTTTTTTTACTACTATATGTAATTCTGATCGGACTCTTGTAATAAAATAAAGCCCATATGACTATTTTCTTTTTTTAAATAAACTTTTGGTGCCCATTTGTTTTCTTTAATTTATCCGCTTGAGCTACTACTACAGAAATTTTAATTA